TGACAAGGTAAATTTGTGGACAAATAAAAGTTGACACTCGTTGATGATAATTTATCGCGTGGTGTTAAGGCTAAGGAAGTGTAACCTTTGCGGCTGCGATCTTCCAGGCCCAGTTCCCTAGGAGAGAAGGGAGAAGTCTTACGAAGGCCAGAGTGTTAGGAACAATATATTTTGTACAGAAGAGTTAAGAGGAAGTTGCCACTCAGTCTGGCATGGCGTTTAACCGTGAGGGCCGTGTGAGAACGCGGCGTCGTCACAGCGACCAACGAGGCTGCCTGCGTCCGCCCCGCTCGGGGCGGAATCCGGAGTGATGTCTAGGGGCAGACATTCAAGCGGCCACCATAAGCTGTCTGTCGTATGCAGCCTTGAAGGTCACTGATTGGACCGCGCAAGGTTACTCTCCAACGTGACCGTGTTGATAGGTAGCGCGTCAGTGTGTCTGGTCCGAGGCACGCCGAAAACTGCCTTCGCGTGAGTTCCTATGCTCAGAGTGATCTTGTCTGTGGCGTCAAGAGTAAGAGGGGCTTCGGGCAGTAGCTAATGGAACCCACTTGTACCGCCCTGCCTTGACTTTCATTTCTCGGGCCCTGACAACAGCCGTAGCGGCCTGTTTGTTTTCAGATCAGTGAATATTTACCCGCATAATGCACGGTTCCGCCCGTATTACATCGGGTGGACCTTCTTTTTCCCGTTTCCTGTTAAATAGGCGGTGTACGTCATCCTTACCGAATTTTTCTGTCAATAAACCGTCATAAGTGCAAGCTGAAGATGACAGGGATGCATATTTTAGCCAAAGGTCTATTGGGTTTCTGGTTTACACCTCAAACGTTGCAGTCTGTGGAAGTCCTCACCGGTTACAGGCAAAATATCATGAATTGGCAGAAATCGGTGAAGCGTAGATGAGAAGACATCCTTTGCCAGGGCGGATGAATAAGAGAAGAAAAGTAAGCCAGTTTTGGAACTTTTCTAAGAGAAGAGAGCGTTAAAAGTCAGTATGCAATTTATGCCGGTAATCTAGATGGGCCCTGGCAAAATATAGGAAAGGTTAACATCCACCTACATTAACCCAAACCGTAAACCTAACCGCAGCCCGAAATTGACGTCAAATCTCACTCACACACTAATATTACTCCTACACTTAAATCATAGGCCTTAACCTAAAAATGACAGATTGTCTGATGCATCAGCTAAGAAGGTACTTATATGGGCAATTTAGAGGTGGTATTCGGGATTATGCTTCCAGAACCCGAACGGAGTAGTTCCTAAGTGCATATCCTCTGTTCGACTTAATAGGATAGCGCTTACGTGTAAGAATTCAACTTTTTCCCAGAAACTAACGTGTTTCTTGAACGTAAACCTGGCAAACGGAGAACCCCAGTAGGTGTTAGAACCGGATATCCGATTCTCCCTAAGTGTAACCAATGAAAGAAAACAGTTTGAAGGCACATCATGAAGAGTGTTGTGTTTGCGGAGCGTGCTTTTCGTCGAATATTTCATTTGAACTTGACTCTTCTACCAGCTGCTGAAATCCATGCAGAGTTTTTTCAGCCAGTTCGGATCCGTGACCTCTTTATTAGACAGCTTGCATGGAAGGGGTCAGAAATCTTCACGGGAAAATATGACCCAGAAATCATACAGCAGCGGCTTCATCCCCCCTAATATGTTTTGTACTCGCCTTATTCCAGTGTTAATTGAGTTTGTCTGCGTTATTGTCAAGAGCTGCCATGGCGCGAACGGAACGTCCCCAGTGATTATGAGCCCTTTAAAAAAACAATCTAGATTTAGTCAACCGAGAGAAAATGCTTATCACATGGCGTATGCGGGGTAAAGACCCCCTAGGGATGTTCCGCTAACGCTGAATTTGAGTGGTTGATAAATATCCTGCCATTGTAATATAAATGGCCTCAACGTTAACTAACCTCATTCACCAAGTGAGCACCATCTTTCGCACAATGCAACTGTCTCTGCTCTCTCTACTAGCG